AGCTGGTTCTCACTGATCCGATGCGGGAAACCTCATCTGATTTGGACAGGCATTGCAACGCATTCCTGTTCAAATCACATGTGATTATTTTGTAGTGCAATTTGAGCCATTCATTTTATATGACTCAAATCGTGCAACGCACTTGCCAGAAAGGTGCAGGACCCTTTTTTCCACAGGAGATGCAGGCCGAGCTCTCTGCCTTCTCTGTACGTGGGAATTAATTGTGCTCTCCTCCCTCTTTTATCTCAGGAGTTAACAGAGAACCTCTCAAATTGGACCATTGCCAAAGCACCCCTGAGGACTCCAGTTGAAAAACACTGCCTTAAAGCATTCTCTGCATTAAGGTAAAAAACCTTAACAATGCAGCTCCCCTACCCCAACCCTCCTTATACTTACCTGAGCCCAATCTAGATCCAGCAATGTGCATAAGAGCAGAGGATCTTTCACCTTTCTCCCTCCTCGTTATCTCATACACAGCAATGGAAGCCATTGGCTCCCACTGCTGTAAAACACAGCCAGTGAGGAGGGAGTAGGAGGTGGGGCCAAGCCACTCTCTGTCTATCTTATGGACACACAGATCTGGCTTAGAAGGGGGAGGGGCCAAGAGTGCGGCAGACCCCAAGAAGAGGAGGATCGGGGCTGCTATGTGCAAAACCAGAGCAGGTAAGTATGACATGTTTGCAACAAAAAAAAATAAATTATCCTTTACAATCACTTTAAATGTTTCCTGAAGGTCTCCTTTCAAGTAAAACTGATTTAAAAACCAATATAGTTTCAGTTTAATATTTTCTATCCTGCTTTTGAACCAGCACGTGGAGGGGCTGGAGGTATCATTATTGTACAACAGTCTAAAAGATGCTTTACTCCCAGTTCTTCTACAAACCTACATCAATGCTTTGGAAACTAGTTCGTGCCTTATGCAAATCATTCTTTGAACCTTTTCAGGATTCACTCATTGGGAAGCATTCCTTCTTGTGTGCCATTTTTTTGAGACCAAGGAAAAAATTGATTAATTCTTTTCTGTCTCACCCCACCTATGACAATTACTACACAATGTAGGAATAACAGTGAAAAGACTTTCTCAGACAAAGATGGCGTGCTCATTCTGAATCTGTTTATGTAGAAAAGAAACATTTCGAAAAATTAGTCTTAACATCTGAGGTGCTGTGTGATCCAAAAGAAAACGTGGACACTATAGGATATGCTCAAATGTTGCTCTCTGCAGTATGCAAGTTTTCTTTTATTTTTGGTGTAAGAATTTAGAAGAGATTAACCAGACACAAAAATATTTGCAAGCAGCCTTGAACAATGTGCAATAAAACGCCAGGATTTCAAACTGATCATTAAAAATCTGCACATAGAAATTGTTAATGAAATTAAAACATTAACAACAGTAAACACATTACCTCTGCAAAAATGCATGTCAAAATATAGGGAAATGAACATTCCAATGTATAAAGTCAGATTTCAAAGAACAATGCCAGGAGAGAAAAGACAAACAATATTGATACCAGATTAAGCCAAAAGGGCAATGTTTGAACGTCTTGAGTGTTTGATGAAAGTGCAAACACTGGACATTCATTATAAGGCAATGGATCAAATAATGGCAGTGTTTGCCGTCATTAAGTCACCGTCTCTGATTTATGCCTTTAGAAGAAAAACTTTTAAAGTTTTACCAAAAATGATAGAAATGTATGCTGAATTTTCTGGTAAAGATATTGTATTAGAAATGTTGTGTCTGTGGAGACATTTGAAAGCTGCTAGAATGGATATTGAACAATTTCTAGAAGTTATTGTGGCTTTGATTTCTATGAATCTCTGCCATGTTATCCTTGTGTTTTTGGCTTTTCCTAACCATTTTGCTTCTTTGTTGCTTCATCTGAAAGGAACTTTTCAAAACTGAAATTAATCGAAACTGTTCTTCATACAGCTATGAGCAAAGATAGATTGAAAAATCTGGCTTTATAGCCATGAATTTGCAAGGATGATTAGTTTCAACAAAGTTGTTGACAAGTTTGCTAAAGTTAAGGCTTGAAGAAAGTTTGCAAGTGTTTGAGATGATATAGTGGCTCTTCACTCCAAGAAACAGTAAATACTCCATGATACCATATTACCCAGCAGTATCAGTTTCCTTCTCTCCAGGCTTTCCATCCACAGTGGTGTCCTGTGGTGCTTCTTATTTTTCTTCTGAGCTCTCCTCTCACTTTCATTATATTTTCTTGCATCACTAGCATAACCCTCAAGCTTTTATGGTCCTAGGCCAGTAATTGCCCTGTTTTCACTCTGTGGAGACTTCTTCATATTGACAAGTTTGCAGAAGATAAGGCTCAAAGACCTAGTAGAAGGTTATCATTTCATAAAAACACAAAGTCGTGCTTCACAGTATACTCTTCAGTTGCGCCTATTCTCAATTTTAACAATTTCCTCTAAACACATTTTAAACTGGTAAAAGAAAATCACTTCTCATTGTGCATTACCAAACAGAATTATTTTCATAGTACAGTCCAGATATTGCACTGCTCACACAGAAAGCAGGCATTCTCATGCTTTGAACTAAAATATACATTAGATGGTGCCAAGAACCCTGTACATCTCCTGCAGGTTTCAAAGAGCTACCTTCTTCATATGAGCCTGAACTGCAATGTTATTAATGACATCTACAGGCCAGTACAAAGGTACATTTATATATTGTTTAAAGTGGTTGTAAACCCTTACATATAGTAGTAATAATAATAAAAAAAATATTAAATATAGCGCCTTTATAGGTAGCTTTTCAAAGCTCGACAACACAGGAAATACATAGTATAAAAAGGGACAATTACATGAAAGCTTGTCTAAAGAAAAATGTTTTTAGATTTAATTTGAATGAGTTTAAAGAAGACGACTCTCTGATGTTCTTTGGAAGTGAATTCCAGAGTTTTGGTGAGTAGCAGGAGAAGGCTCTGTTTCCCATCAAGTGTGGGTGAGTAGGGGGGAAACACAGAAGGCCAGAATTTGTGGATCGAAGGTTACAAGGAGCAGAGTAATTTGAAAAAGTTCAGACAGATAACGGTGTGCCAAGCCATGAAGAGCGTTATAGGTGAGCAAGGGGATCTTAAAGTCTATGTGAAACCTGATAAGTAGCCAGTGCAAGGATTCCAGGATAGGGGTAATATGGTCACTTGTACCAGACCTAGGGAGAAATCTGGCTGCAGAATTTTGTTCATATTGTAGTCGATTAAAAGTGGATTTAGGTACACCAGCGAGTAGAGCATTGCAGTAGTCAAGTCGGGAAAACACAAATGTACGTATCAGCTTTTCAGTTGCAGTAAATGATCGCATAGAATGCAACTGAGCAATGTTTTCCAAGTGGAAAAAAAATGTTCTGAGAACATTTTGTGCATGTGGATCAAAGGTTAAACTAACAACAAATATCACCCCTAGATTTTATAATTTAGACTGAAGCTCAAGTACAGTGCCATCTATAGTGTACTAGGACTAGTGTGCCAAGTGACTGGCCTCAGGTGATACACAGAGATGAAACAAATCCTTCTACGTAAGGTGTACCTGGTTATCTGCATTCTTCTCTTCTCTACATCCATTCAAAGCCCAGAATTTTAAAGCTCATCTAAGAGTTCAGAAAAAGTGAGGAGAGCTCTGAGAGCTGATTGGAGGGAAGGGACACCCTCCCCCCTCCACACAGCTCGCAGGAATAGAACTGAGGCTGTCAATCTGCATGAGGTCCGTCCCGTCACCATTTTTCTCTTGGTGTCAGGAAAATGTGTATACTATAGCGGTATATGCTTTGTTCATATTTCACATCTGAGTTTTACAACCACTTTAATGCACTGTGGTTAATTGCTTTTTTTCACAGGTGTTGATGTTTTTAATGGCCTGACTATAACGTATATTATTATATAATTTTGCCAAAAAATATATATTTTTTATGTTAGCAGGCAACAAAAAAAAGTGTTCATACCTGGGTGTCAGATAGTTGAGGTACTCCACTAGTCAGAGAAGAACCACTTAAAGCTTGACCATTTTGCTGCCATCGATATAAGACATATACTGTAGCACAACAGAACCACTTCCAGCCAGGTCAGTATACCTTACGTTGGTTGCATTCCCCCTTCTGCTATAATCTTCTGGTCAATTTAAAGGCCATAAACTTAGAATGGGCCCCAGAAGCTGCTGAGTAAAAGAATAGCAGTGATCAGCAGCTACCACTGATCAAATCTGTTCATTAAAAATGTTACCCCTCCGGCTTATCTGCTGCTCCACAACTCTTCCACAGAGCACTGTGCCCTGTGTTCTTGGCTGCAGGCTGTGTGCCCTTGTGTGCTGCCTGCCTTTGGGTACCTTTTGATTTTCACAAAAGTGTTTATCTGTTAACTCAATACAGAGACAAAACAGCTCATTTCCAGTTTGCATGAAAAAAGGGGAAGGCTACAGATAGTGCAAGTAATTCCAAAAATGTTATTAAATACAAATAAAAGCTAAAGAAATGTAAAAATGCCACTATACAGTCTTTCCACCAAATGCAGGATATGATGATGTCAGCATGCTGTGTTCTGCGAGGTACAGCTGGTGGTCTCACTAGTCCCATATGGAGATAATTTCCATACAGAAGTGTAACTTGACTGCCTGAATGCTGAAGTCCAACAATCTGGTGAGAGTGGTGCTTTCGGTGATGGAAAGTGTGTCACAGAGGAGTCTCACTTTCAGTGCTAAGACAAGGCACTTTATTGGACTTTATTTTTGGATTTTTCTTACCTGAAAGTGTGATGGGGTTTCGTTTTGGGTGGAAACGATGCATGTATTCTTGTGAGTTATATATCTTGTTTGGCAGTTGACCAGTTGTCGAACTCCTCCATGGTATATGTTATAACTAGAGATGAGCGAAGTATTCAAAAATTCGATTTGGCTGATTCGGCGAATTCGAGGAATAAATTCGATTCGAGGCGAATATATTCGCTGCAAATTTAACTTTAAAAAGGGTGTTTCTAGGCTTCAGAGAGCCTTTATATTAGTGCAGAACACTGTACCTTTAATTTAAATGCCCTTGGAGTCTGCTGGGGAAGAGAAATAATACTGTCAGTCAGTATGACATGCAGATGAGTGCCGTCGATCTTAGAATCACCGCACACTTCACTCATTTGGGCAGTCACGGGGCCAAAACCAGAGTGTGGAGCCACAGTGTGGCGGTGGAGGCAGCAGCAATGGGAGGCCATACAGCACCCTATGACAAAATGGAACCCACCAGCAGTGTGAGGAGACCTGAAAGTGGCACATGGCAGAGTGTGGCGATGGAGACAGCAGCAATGGGAGGCCGTACAGGGACCCATGAGACACTCTGGACCTGGCAGCAGCATGAGGAGGCGGTACAGGGGCCCATGACAGATTACGGGCCTGGCAGCAGCAATGGGAGGCCCGTAATCTGCCAGCACCCTATGACAAAATGGAACCCACCAGCAGTGTGAGGAGACCTGAAAGTGGCACATGGCAGAGTGTGGCGATGGAGACAGCAGCAATGGGAGGCCGTACAGGGACCCATGACAGATTACGGCCTGGCAGCAGCATGAGGAGGCGGTACAGGGGCCCATGACAGATTACGGGCCTGGCAGCAGCAATGGGAGGCCCGTAATCTGCCAGCACCCTATGACAAAATGGAACCCACCAGCAGTGTGAGGAGACCTGAAAGTGGCACATGGCAGAGTGTGGCGATGGAGACAGCAGCAATGGGAGGCCGTACAGGGACCCATGACAGATTACGGGCCTGGCAGCAGCATGAGGAGGCGGTACGGGGGCCCATGACAGATTACGGGCCTGGCAGCAGCAATGGGAGGCACGTAATCTGCCAGCACCCTATGACAAAATGGAACCCACCAGCAGTGTGAGGAGACCTGAAAGTGGCACATGGCAGAGTGTGGCGATGGAGACAGCAGCAATGGGAGGCCATACAGGGACCCATGAGAGACTCTGGACCTGGCAGCAGCATGAGGAGGCGGTACGGGGGCCCATGGCAGATTACGGGCCTGGCAGCAGCAATGGGAGGCCCGTAATCTGCCAGCACCCTATGACAAAATGGAACCCACCAGCAGTGTGAGGAGACCGAAAGTGGCACATGGCAGAGTGTGGCGATGGAGACAGCAGCAATGGGAGGCCGTACAGGGACCCATGAGAGACTCTGGACCTGGCAGCAGCATGAGGAGGCGGTACGGGGGCCCATGGCAGATTACGGGCCTGGCAGCAGCAATGGGAGGCCCGTAATCTGCCAGCACCCTATGACAAAATGGAACCCACCAGCAGTGTGAGGAGACCTGAAAGTGGCACATGGCAGAGTGTGGCGATGGAGACAGCAGCAATGGGAGGCCGTACAGGGACCCATGAGACACTCTGGACCTGGCAGCAGCATGAGGAGGCGGTATGAGGAGGCGGTACAGGGGCCCATGGCAGATTACAGGCCTGGCAGCAGCAGTGTGAGGAAGTGTGGCGATGGGACAGCAGCAATGGGAGGCCCATGGCAGATTACGGGCCTGGCAAGCAATGCCCGTAATCTGCCAGCACCCTATGACAAAATGGAACCCACCAGCAGTGTGAGGAGACCTGAAAGTGGCACATGGCAGAGTGTGGCGATGGAGACAGCAGCAATGGGGAGGCCGTACAGGGACCCATGACAGACTCTGGGGCAAGGAGGAGGCCGCAGAGTGGCAGCAGCATGAGGAGGCGGTACAGGGACCCATGAGAGGGGCCCATGGCAGATTACGGGCCTGGCAGCAGCAATGGGAGGCCCGTAATCTGCCAGCACCCTATGACAAAATGGAACCCACCAGCAGTGTGAGGAGACCTGAAAGTGGCACATGGCAGAGTGTGCGATGGAGACAGCAGCAATGGGAGGCCGTACAGGGACCCATGAGACACTCTGGACCTGGCAGCAGCATGAGGAGGCGGTACATGGCAGGGGCCCATGGCAGATTACGGGCCTGGCAGCAGCAATGGGAGGCCCGTAATCTGCCAGCACCCTATGACAAAATGGAACCCACCAGCAGTGTGAGGAGACCTGAAAGTGGCACATGGCAGAGTGTGGCGATGGAGACAGCAGCAATGGGAGGCCGTACAGGGACCCATGACACACATGAGGAGGCTGGACCATGGCAGCAGCTGGCAGCAGCAATGAGGAGGCTATGGTACAGGGGGCCCATGGCAGATTATGGAGACAGCAGCAATGGGGGCCTGGCAGCAGCAATGGGAGCAGTAATGGGAGGCCCGTAATCTGCCAGCACCCTATGACAAAATGGAACCCACCAGCAGTGTGAGGAGACCTGAAAGTGGTGCAGAGGAGACCTGAAAGTGGCACATGGCAGAGTGTGGCGATGCAGAGACAGCAGCAATGGGAGGCCGTACAGGGACCCACCCCATGACACACTCTGGACCTGGCAGCAGCAAGAGGAGGGGCGGTACAGGGGCCCAGGGGCATGGCAGAGTGGCGAAGCGTAAGCAGCTTAAATTGAAGGCCATACAGAGGCCTATGTTAAAAATAATAACATGTTTGGGGCATGATTCATGGCGGATTTAGTCAGTTGTGTCAGGAACTGGTGGTTTGAAATCCAGACTAATCCACGCCTGATTCATTTTCACAAACGTGAGTCTCTCCACACTTTGGGTGGACAGTCGTGTCCTCCGCGGAGTTACAATACCTCCTGCCGCACTAAACACGCGCTCCGATGCCACGCTACTGGCCGGGCATGACAGCCTTTCAAGGGCAAATTCAGCTACTTGGGGCCAAAGGTCAAGTTTCGTTGCCCAGTAGTCAAGGGGATTGTCTACCTCGGTTGGCAGGGTGCTGTCCAAGTAGGCCCAAGCCTGTTGTTTGAGGTCCTGCTCCAGGTCCACCTGATGCTGCTGCTGCTGCGGCTGGTTAGTAGTTTCCTCACTGCGCTGGTGAAGAAAGCTACTCATCATCGACTGCAGACTGAGGCAGCCGCTGCTGGTGGAGCTGCCACTGCTCCTACCACCCCACCCCTCCCCTGCTGCCATGGCAGCGGAACGCGAGCGCACAGGGCCCACAGTGTCTGAGGATGGACGTTGGCGCAGAAAGGCAGAGACCAACTGACTACATAGGTGGTTTTTATAGTACGTTATTTTGGCCTCCCTCTCAGCAGGTGTGAAAAAGGCCACCATTTTTGAACGGTAGCGAGGGTCCAACAAGGTGGACAGCCAAAAGTCATCCCTCTGTCTGATGGTTATTATTCGGCTGTCGCTACGCAAGCAACCGAGCATGCTATGGGCCATTTGTGCCAAGGAATGCGAGGGACTCCCTGCCTCCATCTCCACAGCATACTGCCACGGTGCGTCTGGGTCCTCTGTCTCTCCTCCTCCTCTCCTCTACCAGATGCTCCTGCTCCTCCACTCCTGTCCGCTGAGTGGAAAAAACCACCCATTTCACTCAATAATTCCTGAGCACCAATGTCCTCCTCTACCTCCTCCTCTTCTTCCTGTCCTGCCCCCACAGGGGTCATGTGGCGTTGAGATCTGTGCGCCACGTCTACCGCACCCTGACCAGCCATTGTTAACAGCATTTGTTCCAGGACGTGCAACAGAGGAATGACGTCGTTCATCCCATAGTCCTGCCGACTCACGAATAGCGTGGCCTCCTCAAAGGGCCTGAGCAAGCGGCAGGTGTCACGCATGAGCTGCCAATGGCTGACATCTAAGTTACACAGGGGAGTACCTTTATCCGCTTGTAACATCAGGAAATCGGTGATGGCCTTTCGCTGTTCGTAAAGGCGGTCTAACATATGTAGGGTTGAATTCCACCTTGTTGCAACGTCGCAGATCAGGCGATGCTGTGGAATTCCGTTCTGCCGCTGCAGCTCAAGGAGGGTGTGCTTTGCGGTGTAGGAATGGCTGAAATGCATGCAAAGTTTACGTGACATTTTAAGGATGTCTTGCAGTGGGATGGTGGATTTTAGGAACCGCTTGACAACCAGATTGAACACGTGAGCCATGCATGGCGCATGGCACAACCTTCCTTGACGCAGAGCAGACACCATGTTCTTTCCGTTGTCGGTCAACATGGTTCCGATTTTCAGTTTGCGCGGAGACAGCCATCTGTCGATTTCTCTGTTCATTACACTCAGAAGTTCCTCCCCTGTGTGACTACGTTCGCCAAGGCATACCAGGTGCAGCACAGCGTGACACCGTTGCGCCCTGCACATGTGATATGCCGGTCGGGTAATGGGACTTGGCACGGGGGGGGGGGTGGCGGCTGAGGACACGGCGGATAGAGAGGTGGTAGAGGCGGACATCTTTGCTGGACCAAGGACGTGCAAACGTGGAGGCAAAAGCGGCGTGACCTGTCCAAGTTGCTGGTGCGGCTGTGCCGGCACCACGTTCACCCAGTGGGCCGTAAATGACATGTACTGTCCCTGACCGTAGTTACAGCTCCACACGTCGGCGCTGCCGTGCACTTTGGCAGAGACCGACATGCTCAAAGACTGGCCCACCATCTCTTCTACATGTGAATGCAGGGCTGGCACTGCCTTTTTGGCGAAGAAATGCCGGCTTGGCACTCTCCACCGCGGCTCGGCACAAGCCATCATTCTCGGAAAGGTGCTGAGTCCACCACTTGGAAAGGGAGGGACTGCAGCACCAGCAACTTGGACAGGAGGACGTTCAGCTTCTGCACCGTCGGGTGCGTGCTCGCAAACTGTTGTCTCTTGGAAACGGATTCCAAGAAAGACTGCTGACGGAATCCGTGAAGAGGAGTAGTAGCAGGAGAAGGAGCATCTGAACGAGCGGAAGATGCCAACGAGCGACAACTCCCCTCAGCAGAGGTGTTTGGAGCCTTGACTGGCTGATAGAGGGCGATTGACGTCGGGTGACGGAGCAAGTAACGGAGCGGGTGATGGAGCGGGGGCTGGGGCAGGCAGAACCGCCGTATCTTTATCACGGTTTTCCCAGGCCACCGAATGGCGACGCTGCATATGCTGACGCAACGCTGTAGTCCCAACATGGGCCCCCTGGCCACGCTTGACTTTCTGGCCACATAGTCGACATACGGCTACGTTTACTTCCTCGGGCGGCTTGACGAAAAATTGCCACACCGCCGAGTAGGAAACTTTGCCCCCGCTACTCCTCACTGGCTGACTGCTACTTCCTCCGTGCACACCGGCACCACTACTGGCCGTGGTGGTAGGCTGCAGTGGAGCTGGTGCTCTACTCCGTGGCCGTTTGCCTCCACTGACACTGCTGCGACCCTGCTGCCTCCTGGGCAACCCACCGACTGACTTTTGCTCGCTGCCAAGCTGGCACCCTCTTCTCCTGATGATGCGGAAGCAATAGCCTGATGACGACGAGGCTGCCAAGTGCGATCAGCCTCATCATCATCAATTAGGGTCTCCGCCTCACTACTAGCCCCCTCGGCTGCGTGTGGGTCAGGAGACAGACCTGTCTCTAGACCGGCTACCGAGCCACTCTCCTCGCCAGTACTTCTTCGCCTGGCTGCTGAAGAGGCGGATGTCTCCCCCCGTTCCTGACCGCCCTCTGTTAGCTCTTCCTCACTGTACAGTGGGGCTGAGCCCACAGCATGCGATACTTCGCTTGGTGAGGGAACACCAAAGGACAGGGGCAGGTAGAGGACACGTGATTTCAGTGGGCTTGCTCCCGGGCCATGCCAACTAACGGTTGTGTCTGACGTACCCACCGACCGTTGGCTGTAGGTGTCAGAGGTGACCTGGGAAGAGAGGAAGACGACCGAGCCAACCAATCGATGACGGCAGGGTTGTCGGTGGAGACACGACCGCTGGATGACACCGGGAGCACTGGCCTCTGGCTGCGACTAGTGCTGCCTCGACCCCTTCCTCTGCTGCCACGTCTGCTCGCTCCTGAAAACATTGCCTCCTCTGACACTCCTCTGCGTGTTGTCTGACATACTCTTTAATTCAACGATTCTGTGTCCCTGAGTAACAATTCTGTGTCCCTGAGTAACAGTTCTGTGTCCCTGAGTAACATTCTTTGTCCCTGAGTAACAGTTCTTTGTCCCTGAGTAACAGTTCTGTCCCTGAGTAACAATTCTGTGTCCCTGAGTAAATTCTGTGTCCCTGAGTAACAATTCTGTGTCCCTCAGTAACAATTCTGTGTCTGTCCCTGAGTAACAATTCTGTGTCCCTCAGTAACAATTCTGTGTCCCTCAGTAACAATTCTGTGTCCCTCAGTAACAATTCTGTGTCTGTCCCTGAGTAACAATTCTGTGTCCCTGAGTAACAATTCTGTGTCCCTGAGTAACAGTTCTGTGTCCCTGAGTAACAGTTCTGTGTCCCTGAGTAACAATTCTGTGTCCCTCAGTAACAATTCTGTGTCCCTCAGTAACAATTCTGTGTCCCTCAGTAACAATTCTGTGTCTGTCCCTGAGTAACAATTCTGTGTCCCTGAGTAACAGTTCTGTGTCCCTGAGTAACAATTCTGTGTCCCTGAGTAACAGTTCTGTGTCCCTGAGTAACAATTCTGTGTCCCTGAGTAACAATTCTGTGTCCCTCAGTAACAATTCTGTGTCCCTCAGTAACAATTCTGTGTCTGTCCCTGAGTAACAATTCTGTGTCCCTCAGTAACAATTCTGTGTCCCTCAGTAACAATTCTGTGTCCCTCAGTAACAATTCTGTGTCTGTCCCTGAGTAACAATTCTGTGTCCCTGAGTAACAGTTTCGTGTCCCTGAGTAACAGTTCTGTGTCCCTGAGTAACAATTCTGTGTCCCTGAGTAACAATTCTGTGTCCCTCAGTAACAATTCTGTGTCCCTCAGTAACAATTCTGTGTCCCTCAGTAACAATTCTGTGTCTGTCCCTGAGTAACAATTCTGTGTCCCTCAGTAACAATTCTGTGTCCCTCAGTAACAATTCTGTGTCTGTCCCTGAGTAACAGTTCTGTGTCCCTGAGTAACAATTCTGTGTCCCTGAGTCCCTGAGTAACAGTTCTGTGTCCCTGAGTAACAGTTCTGTGTCCCTGAGTAACAATTCTGTGTCCTTGAGTAACAATTCTGTGTCCTTGAGTAACAATTCTGTGTCCCTCAGTAACAATTCTGTGTCCATCAGTAACAATTCTGTGTCCCTCAGTAACAATTCTGTGTCTGTCCCTGAGTAACAATTCTGTGTCCCTCAGTAACAATTCTGTGTCCCTCAGAAACAATTCTGTGTCTGTCCCTGAGTAACAATTCTGTGTCCCTGAGTAACAGTTCTGTGTCCCTGAGTAACAATTCTGTGTCCCTCAGTAACAATTCTGTGTCCCTCAGTAACAATTCTGTGTCTGTCCCTCAGTAACAATTCTGTGTCCCTCAGTAACAATTCTGTGGCCCTAAAGTCTCTTTGGCCCTAACTCTGTCCCTAATACAGAGAGGTCTGTCTCTCTTGAATGACCGGAGGCTAATGGAGAATTCTAAGATGGCCACAATTT